TCTTGCTATAATTATTTATTACCATCATGCAAAAATTAGAAAAGTAACAAATTGTTTACTAAACTTGCCAATCTCAATTTAATATACAGCTATACATTATGATATAGTTACAGAATATACTATTAAAATACAATTTTTAATTCCAAGGGATATGATTTTTGATCGCAAGTTGTTGTAGGCCGCAAAATCTATTGAGATGATTTGTCTGTATCTCTAACTGTGCATCAAACTAATTCCTGATAATATTTACTTTAATATATATATCTTTTTACCTTAACTCTAATTTCTATATTTATATAGATTCTTTCAAATACGAAAATGATCTTAAACCTTGAATTAAAGACATTTTTCGCGATCAAATTTTTTATGAAGAGTGTTGGCTTATTGCGTCTATTCTTTATCCTTTCAAAATTTCTGTTGAATGTCTAAAATCGAGAACCTCCAATCTTGCTAATTGCTATGCCCATTTAATATCATTAACAAATGCAATTTTTCATGTACCAAATCAAAATATAGCATTTAAAAATTATTGTATTGAGAAATTTAATCGTCATTAGGACGAATTTTCTAGTAATATCTATATTTTGACTTTTTTTTACATCTGCGATATCATGGTAATTAATATATATATTATATATATATATAATAAAAACTTTATTTAATAGGTAAAGCATTAATTCACAAAAATTTTGTAATATTAATATCATAGCTGCACAAATTTGAAAAGACATAGGACACAATCAAGAATCATATAGCAAACTATTATCCCAAATACGAAAATATAGGAGTAAAAAGGTGCTATTTGATCACTTATATAATTCTAAATTGGATACGCCAATTATTTGGTAGGAAAATACACAACATGAAAAAGAAGAATGAGAATTACAAATACTGACACTTTGTCTTTTTGCAATAACACCACATAGTGCTTCTTGTGAGCATTTCTTTTCAGTTCTTAGTTGGTTTTATAATCAAAGACGTACCAATTTGGCTATAGAACGAGTAAAAGGGATACGCAAACTACATACCTTTTATATTACTAATGCTAAACAAGAATTGACTTGTTATGCAATTGATTTACCTGAAAATTTATTGCGTAACCAAATACTAGATACCGTTGCAGCAATTAATAGTGAAACTGATGATATTATCGAATTTTCTGACACAGATATCTTAGCAGATAACAACAATACTAGTACAAAAATAGATATATCTCAGGTATATACTTTAGATATTATGAAGAATATAGATATTGGGCTACAAATGTTTAATATAGACTGAAGAACAAGTGAAGAGGAGGTAACAGTCAGTTCAAGAAGACAAGCTATTGTACTAGAACCATAACACAATGATTTTGATGTTGAATCACTAGCTAGAAATATGTCAATAGAAATTGACAATGTTGAGGATTCTTAGATTTGCCTTCAAGTCAAAACCTGTGAGTAGATATTTAAGTTTTGTTATATTAAACTTAACACTGAAAAATTTAGATATTAAACTGTATATATGTTTGGTTTTTTTTTTTTTTTTTTTTTTTAATGAAATACTTTCTAATATAATATTTTACATATTTCATAAGCGGTATTATGGTGGGCCGGAATATATAATGCAATTGGATGCTGCTCAACAAAAACGTTTGCCAAAAATGTTTTTAAAATAATGCTTGGGGTTTTTTTTGAGTGATTTTCAAAGTAACACATTCATTTATTAATGGTGCAGGATAATGTACCAGGGGAAATTTAATATAAACTTTATGTGGTATATATTTTGTTTTCTTTTTCTCGATTATTTTGTTAGTACATAAATAACAATAGAAGTTAGGTAACGAAATAGTGAAATAAATTTTGGATTCATTATGTTGCGTGTAATTTTCAGAAACGACTAGAACATTTATTGTATCATATGTGTGGTTAAATAGACATATTTTTTTTCAGAGATAAGTTTAACGCACTAACAACTTAAAAAATATTCACTTCCGGGCTTCAATTTTATAAAAATAAATTTCGGCTAAATTTTGGATTTCGGCAAGGGTTTCGGAATTCGGCGTAAGTTTCGAATCAGGGTTTCGGATTTTCGGTTTCGTCAAAACCGTTAAAAGTTTCGGTCACATGTATAATTCAGATGATGCAAATGAAATCAAAAAGCAATTCTTAGAAACAGATAAAACAGTCAAAGAATCATCAATTATAACTATAATGAGAATCGGGTATAGCATTATGTAGCAACATGAATGCTGCACATCAGTATACGTAGTGTTAGACCTAAAAATGGTAAATTCACAATGTCTTTAATATCACATGACCAATAATGTACGAAATTATAACGCATACGCCAAGAATTCTACATTTTCTACAATTTCTACAATTTCTATTTTCTACAATTTCTACCATTCCTATAATTTCTATTGCTTCTTTTATTTCTTCAATTTTATTATTTATTTCTTTGATATTATTGGATCTATTGTACGTATTAATTATACTGCACATAAAATTATCCTATAGAATAGATTTAGAATAATCAATATATATAATATTTTACAGTCCAAGAACATGTATAAATAGCCTCGATTTCTCTCTGGGAATCGACAGTTAGTTCACAACTCATATTTATTGAATAAAATACAAAATCGTGTCTTCATACACGAGATAAAACCCAATCATGTCTTTATACGCGAGTAATAACCTAAGTTAATCGTTAAGTGAATTAACGATCTTGAACACGTGACTATCGTAAAGAGAGTTCGCGATAGATGATAAAATGAATGCTATGAATATTAAATCTGTAATTATAAAAATTGATACTATTTTTGAAGTATCAGCGCATCCCTGTGACGATCGTCCACCGTACGATTCATATATGGCTAATCCATTTTCGATGGTTTTTTGAATCTTGCTAACCATTTTTAAAATACAGAAGAAATTGTATATTATTTTGCCGGATCCTTTTTACAAAGTAGATCAGGAGTATGATTCTTTTTTGCTTGTGAAACAATTACATTCTCAAGAAGTACTTTTAAATGAGTTACCCGGGCAATAGCTAACCATACGAATACCTGACTATGGGGAATCGATAATCGAGAAATGGATGCTATTCAAGTTTAAACGACTTTACTAAAATGTCTAGTGTGATCTTATTTTTAATGGGGTTTCAAAAGTGTCGCATTTGAAATCTGGGATTTTTCAAATAGTATTTTTACTATGTTGAATTATAAATCGGAAAAATAAAATAAGATTTTCCAATTTTAATTTCTTATCTTTCGAATGTATTTTCCCCCTCCCCTAATATATTCCTGATGTTCCTAAAATTAAAACCAAAATGGTTTAAATCCACTCCCTAAGAACCTCACGTAATACCGTAAATGTCAAACCCTTCATAATTATATTAAATAAATGTTTAATTGAATTTATTTTTTTGATTGTATAATTACATGATTAATTTGGCTAATATAATCGGGTAAAGAAGTTTTTTTCTAGGTTATTAATTCGACAATTAGTTTCTTCGAAATTTTTAAACTGATTTACTACTAATTTTGCCGACTTTCGACTAACCGATTTCGATTCGTATCACAAGTTCATCAAGTAAAATTTCTACCCGTGTCAACCTGTCAATCACCTGGGCAAGTTCAAGTCGGGAGTTTTTTAATGGGCCCAATCCTCTTAGACTATTTTAATATAAAAAATTAATTATTACTATATGAGTGCCGCCAAGGGAAAACCTGAATCCGGAAAGTACAGGTTAATATCATCATGATGAATTACTAATGATTTTAATAACCTGTACTTTCCGGATCCCTTGGCGGCACTCATATACTGTATATGACCTGGTTTTATTAAAAAAAATAATAATTACAGAAATTATCATCATTAAAATACATTTAAATATAAAACTAATTAACAGCACGAGATACTACACTCTATCCCTTTGCAGCCCTTTGCAACTTTGCAATTATTTGCGTGTATAACGTTGCCCCTCTACCTTATGCACAGGGTCGTGAATAGCGCATTTTTGGTAACATCCATCTACAATCCAGGGCCAAAACATTTGTGAATTATCTACCAATACCAATTATCGACAATCAAGACTCACAAGTTTCTCATGTTTATCACATGCACCTGCATGTTAAATAAATAAGTAGAAAAGACAACTAAAATAAGAAACATATAAAACTAAAAAGAATAATAGCGTGAATTTTAACCCCTCAAATTTTATTTTACGGTAATTCCGTGACATTACCTATGTACTCGAAGCCGTTAAAACCAAGTCTGTTATTCCCAATGCAATATTTACATACATCATTTAGATTGCTAAAATATATATACGCATTTATATTTTTTACATGATAAATATAAATAAATTTTATAAACTACTAAAATGAATATGTCATAATAAATAAATAATTAATAATATATTTAATAAATAAATAAATATAATAATATATATATAATAAATAAGTTATAATAATATCTAAATGCTATAATTAATAAATGTTCTTAATATTTATATATACCGTAATGATTTTATCTATATGTTATGCTAAATGATGTATATTTATATATGCCGTAATAATAATGAATGAATGAATGATTTTATCTATATGCTATGCTAAATGATTTATGGATAACTTATGTATGATATCTATTTAATACTCTAATAAAGATTTTTGCCAAGATGAATGATTTTTATAAGATATTCTAAATGTTTGTCTATAAGATATTCTAAAAGTTTTTCTATAAGAGATTCTAAAGTTTTTCTATAAGATATTCTAAATGATTATGGATAATTTACGCATTGATATCTATTTAATATTCTAATAATGATATTGGTTAATACTGCTATGCAGTCTATGGATTGATTTTTTATATGAAATTATGGTCATGAGATGTAATTCTTGTCAAAAGATAAACTCAAGAACGAAATTTTGTTTTTTTTTTCTTTTTTTTTGTTTTTTTTTTGTTTTTTTTTTAATATTTACAATATCAATAAAGTAAAGATGAAGGTTGTTATTCACAATAACGGCGAATTCGTTGAACTTGTAGAATTTCGCCGATTACAAAATTTACATTATTTACGAAATTTACATCTTTTAAAGAATTTACACGATTACGAGATTTACAAAGTAAATGCTCGTAGTCTTCTATGCCGTTCATCGTCGCTACATCGAGTATTTGTACAAAGGGAAAGAAAACCAAATAACTGACAAGTGTATTTAGCTTGGGGGTGAATAGATTGGTGAATGAATAATTTTTTCTCGGATTTAACCCTATTAATAGCATTAAATTGAATTGAAATAGTTGAAGTAGGATAATCATAAATAGCAGTCATCCAACCGCTTAAAATGTTATTTAATTCAGTAGCCTTTGGACGCTGATTTGGGTCTTGATGCCAGCATCTTTTCATTAACGATATATAAGCATCAGGAGTATTATTAACTATTTCAGGTCGTAAACCTTCACATATACGTGTCGCAAGATCAAGGTCGTGAGAAATTTGAGAAAAAGGTTTCATACACGTTGATAAAGTCCACATAACTATTCCAAAGCTATATATGTCAGAGGCCTGAGTATATTCACCACCCTTTAACACTTCAGGAGCGACATAAGGTAAAACACCATGTACGGCAGAAGAATTTCTGTGTAATCCAATATCGGAAATTCTTACATGAATTCCTTCAATTGTGTGTTCGATCAATAAGTTTCCACCATGGAGATTGCCATGATAAAGTTTGTGATCGTGGATTTGTTTAAGACCGTTAGCAATTTTATGAAGCATGTTAACTATATCCTTCCAGTGAAGGTATTTAGTACCATTTTTGAGATGACTATACAAGTTTTCTCGATAATACTTCATTACTATCAAATAGCAACCAGCCGAATCCCGTGTAATTCCTAAGCAATCGACTGTTAAACGGCCTTGAAGGGATCGATAATGTCTCAAAATCTTTTTTTTTTAAAAAAAAAAGAACCATTTAAAAAAAAATTTTTTTTAACAAAAAATTAAGAAGATTTAATAAATATATAAACTTACATCTATTAAATATCCTTTATTCATTTTATCAGAATATTCAATTTTTTTTAATGCACATTTATTTGGACCACTTCTAATCCAGTTAGCACCTTCTTCATCCCAAACGTGTCTGGGACCTTCAATCCAAATACCGGAATATATAGTGCTAAAAGTACTTCTGGATAGTAATTTAATATCAACAAACTCTTTAAATGGGATCCATTCGAGATATCCCATATTCTCGTTTGCATTAAGTTGAGTTTGTTGAATAATTAAGTCAATGTCCGTATTTCCACTGGTCCATTTACTAAATCCTTGTTCGAACAAAGTTTTTTCACAAGTAGAGCACCATTGACGACTGCGTCGTTTCCCACAATCGTCACATTTAATATCTGTAGAAACCATTTTTTGAAAAAACGCTCGAATATATTTTGAGACTATATAGAGCAACATTAGAAGTCAAGGAAAATAGAATAATTCGGGTATTTTTATAGTATTTAAATAATTGACTTATCATAATAACATATGAATATTCATAACCTTGTGATCAATTCAATTTTAAGATCCGCATTATGTGTAATTAGATATCAATATATAATAATTTATTAGCGGAAAGTTTTTCTCTTGGTTTTGAGGCAGTGATCGGGGGTTTATACAAAATAATCAATATTTGACAGTTAAAATAACGACTTAAAAAATATTTTTCAAGGACTTTTGGTAACTCGTTTAGTGATCAAAAATGAAATTCAGCTTGGCATGAACTTTCAATTACTTCCATAGTACTTTTCTTTTCAATAAATGAATGTGAATTTCTTAACTATAATGAATCAGTTTGACCGAATGTAGCATTTGTTTACACATGCGCATTTACTATCAACTCCCAAAACCAAACTGACACATCTAAAAACAATTTAAGGTATACTAATTATATTATTGGATGTTGTGCACGTTGTATTGAATTATAGATCTGTACGAATTATCGACGGACAAAGAACTTGAAAATAGACAAAGAACTTAAAAACAAATAAAACAAAAAATATTGAAATTTCAAAAAAAACAAAGAATTGACTTCTGGAATATTGTCTATTGTTTTTTTTTTCGAAACCATTCTTCATTGTATACGTATATTAATCGACGGTGTTACGAGGATTACCAAAAACTAATAGATAATTTAGTACGTATTTAATACTATCCGACATAATATTAGGTAGATAATTTATATTTTCACATTATTTTGATGAAGATTTTAACCTAAAAGACTTCGGATTTCTTAATTCTGTTAATCATCTAAACTATATTTTGTCAATTTAATTTGACCAATTAATTTTTCATTTTTCGTTTGAAAAAGTAAATGCTTTTTGAATGGCCGATCTTTGATAGTTGCATTAGTAACTTGATTAAGACATTTAAATGCAAATTAGGGTTTGGAACCGGTTTTATTTTGCATACGTACGTACGTATATTAAAACCGATTAAAATCGGTTTTAACATACGACTCCGAATTTAATGTAAATCTTCGACTT